TGGGTCCAGGACTTGAACTACACAACTGGGCATGTGGAATCCAGCTGCATTAACCATCATGCCACCAGCTAGCCCTATTTTACCTTTTTAATTCCTAGTAGAAAATATCCTTGGTGATTGCAATTGTATTTGGTTCTTCTCTGCCATGTATTCTTTCGGTAAAAAAGCCTTTTCTAGAAAGAAAAAAAAAGAGAGAGAGAGAAAGAAAGATAGTAAAAAAGCCTTTTGTAGAAAGAAAAAAAAAGAGAGGGAGAGAAAGAAAGATTGTATTCTGGTTCTAGACATCTGGAAAATATAGAATAATTTTCACTTTCCCATTAAAAAAGAAGTTCAGTTATTTTTCTTTGTCCAGGTTCTCATTTGTGTCCCCCAGGAAGCTCTGCAGTTTCCTTATAGAGGTTCCTCTCATTTCTAGTTAAGAAATTACTGCTATTGTATTTGCTGCTATTATGTTTGTGGTAGTGCCTTTGGTAAAAAAAGATCTTTGATTCTATTTCTTGTTCATTGATTCATTGGTTTAGTTTTTCTACTCCCTCTTGAGTTGTGTGTATGATTTTTTCATACTTGCTTAAAAAATTGCCCATCCTACCCAGATTTTAAAACTAATTGTCGTAAACCATATGGAGTATTTTTGCAAATTTGAAACATGGCCTTTGTACTTTTATATCTGTTGTTGAATTGTCTTCTCATTTGTGATGTTGAGTACATGGGTTTTCCCCCCTTGTCTATTATTTTTGGTCTTTTCAAAGAACAAGCCTTTGGTTCCATGCCCCATTCCACATGAGTTTTTAATGTTTATTACTTTTGTCTTGATTAGTTGTCCCCTGTGTGTTTTGCATTGTTTTATTGTTTTTCTAGCTTCTAGATTTGATTGCTTAGTCCAATCATATTGAATCCTTTAATTAATCAGCGAGTTACCTAATTAAATAAATTAAGATAATTTGTCCTGTGAATATGGCTTTGGGCACATCTTATAGGTTTCTTCTCTGCTAGATAGAATATGATTCAATACCATGATCATAGTAGCTTCTTTATAATTAGATAATTTTCCATTGTTAGAATAGATCACAGTATGGTAATTGGATATTCTATGAACATTAAAAAATGAACTTTGTCATAAAACACTGCAAGCCTGCAGTCTTTTTAGAGAAACTTATTTAGTAACTTTGGATTTTTGTATCTGAGAGTTGAGAAAAGGACTCTCAGTGTGGGTTTAATTTTTTTTTTGTATTTTATTTTATTCTATTTTTAAAAATTGATTAATTATTTTTATATACATTCAATGACATTGTTTAGCTTATGAAGTGAACATTTCAAAATGTGAACAATTCTCCCCAGTCCCATTGATCAAAATATCTTCAACAGATTATATCACACCTCCCCGTCCTGTCAATGCTCTGCCTCTGTATCCCTCCTCCAAATGTCCTCCCCTAGGCCCCATTCCTCCACACACACCACATTTGGTGTTCACACCCATCTCTTGTGTTTGTTTATCTTTTAGTCAATCAGTTTTGATCGTAGAGTGCAGACACTTGGTATATATTAAGTGGGGACATACATTGTCTCTCCTTCATAGCCTGGCTTGCTTCACTCAGCAGTAAACCTTCCATATTCTTCCACTTTCTGTCAAAAGCCAGGGTTTTTTTTTTTTTTGTTATAGCTGAATAGTATTCCATAGAGTACATGTGCCACAGTTTTTCAATCCATTCATCCATATGGGGCATTTGGGTTGGTTCCATGTCTTAGCAATCGTGAATAGTGCTGCAATAAACATCAATGTGCAAGCACTTTTCCAATGAAGGATTATTTCTCAGATTTTATCAGTGAAGTTGACCATTTCTTGTCATGTTCTTATTTTTCTCTGTGAATTTTAGTTTATGTTCTTTGCCCATTTTTCTATCAGATCATTGTTCATAATTTTTAGAATGGACATCAATTACATTAGCAATGAAAAACAGTCAAGATATGGGCCAGTCAGGTGGCATGATGGTTAAGGTGGCTGGATCCCACATGGCCACTGGGGTGGTTTGAGACCTGGACCTGGCAGCTTGGAAAATACACAGGGTGTATACACATGCATGCTCAAAATCCCAAGAGGAGAATGAAGGAGAAGGGATTGTAGCATGGCCATGCCCTCTGGGGTGCTTTCAATTTATTTCTCTTTCTCCAATAAGGACATGAAACACACACACACACACACACACACACAAGTTATTCAGACTGGGCAGTAAGAACATGTCATCTCTGCTCTGTGATGTGTGTGACTCCAGCGGTGAAAAGTCTGCCAATGAGAGCTGGAACCATCTGAGAGCTCACCATCCCATGTCACCTCATCATGCAGCTTGGCTTCTTCACAGCATAATGGCCTCAGGGAAATATGACTTCTCACAGGTATCCCAGGGTTCCCAGAGCATGCATTCCAGGAAACAGTCTACAAGCTACACTGATTTCCAGAACTGAGCCTTGGATGTAATTTGAAATCACTGCACCGTACTCCAGCAGTGGAGGCAAACTCGGGCATACCCAGACTCTAGGGGTGGGGACAGAGACCCAACCTCTCAACAGAAGACTGTCAAGACCACTGTGCACAACACGTGAGATAGTACATCATTATGTCCATCACTGGGAAGGCACTCAGCCACACTGTGGTTGGTTGTCATTCTTGAGGTACCTGCATACCTCAAGAAAGAACAATCCTTCATTGGAGAATGTTCTTTATGAGGCCAGAAAGTAAGTCTGTGACTTGGAAACTGTGAAGAAAAATCATGGCCCTCTCTGGAGTTTGGAAAAGGCACCTATGTTTTTCTCCACCTGGCTTACAATGTGCCTAGTGTTTGTGCCAGAAGGTCAGAGTCCATACATCTACTGCATCCTAGTGACAGCACCCCTTTACTGCAGATTTTATTCTTTTGAGCAAGGAGGAGAAACTTCTTCAGTGCCATACAAAATATAATTCCCACATAAGCAGGAGGTGAGTGCTATCACTTCCCCGAGTCTCCATTTTCTCATCTAGAAAATGAGGATATTAACAACTTCTCCCCCACGAGGTCATTTGGACATTAAGTAAGTAAACACATGCAATAATTCAAGAGAGTGACCAGCACATCATAAGATGTTTAATTACTTGTTATGAATCACTCCATTAATGGGCAGAATTTGACAAGGATCATGAAGGACATACAGGATGAGCTGAAAATTAATTCCCCATGAAAACAGACTGTCTCTCCAGGGCCTGACACAGGAGAGTTGCTCAGGAAGCATTAGTTGAACAAGTGAATGAATGTAATGACAGCAGAAATACAGGGTCGAGGTGCGCACCTGTAAGATCAGTTTCATGGATAGTCTCTTCCCACATGAAGGGGAAGAGAAAGAAAGCATCTTTATTCAGAAGCAGAAGTTGCTATCACCAAGACCAGACCTGTCTCCAACTGAGGAGGCTCCTTAAGGCCTGCTTCATGTCCTTATTTCTTAGGCTGTAAATGAACGGGTTAAGCATGGGAGCCACCACTGCATACAGCACTGTAGCCACAGAGTCTTCAGCTGTGTAGGAAGAGGAAGGTCGCAGATAGACCCCAAATAGCGTCCCATAGAACAAAGTGGATCCCACATGGCCACTGGGGTGGTTTGAGACCTGGACCTGGCAGCTTGGAAAATACACAGGGTGTATACACATGCATGCTCAAAATCCCAAGAGGAGAATGAAGGAGAAGGGATTGTAGCATGGCCATGCCCTCTGGGGTGCTTTCAATTTATTTCTCTTTCTCCAATAAGGACATGAAACACACACACACACACACACACACACAAGTTATTCAGACTGGGCAGTAAGAACATGTCATCTCTGCTCTGTGATGTGTGTGACTCCAGCGGTGAAAAGTCTGCCAATGAGAGCTGGAACCATCTGAGAGCTCACCATCCCATGTCACCTCATCATGCAGCTTGGCTTCTTCACAGCATAATGGCCTCAGGGAAATATGACTTCTCACAGGTATCCCAGGGTTCCCAGAGCATGCATTCCAGGAAACAGTCTACAAGCTACACTGATTTCCAGAACTGAGCCTTGGATGTAATTTGAAATCACTGCACCGTACTCCAGCAGTGGAGGCAAACTCGGGCATACCCAGACTCTAGGGGTGGGGACAGAGACCCAACCTCTCAACAGAAGACTGTCAAGACCACTGTGCACAACACGTGAGATAGTACATCATTATGTCCATCACTGGGAAGGCACTCAGCCACACTGTGGTTGGTTGTCATTCTTGAGGTACCTGCATACCTCAAGAAAGAACAATCCTTCATTGGAGAATGTTCTTTATGAGGCCAGAAAGTAAGTCTGTGACTTGGAAACTGTGAAGAAAAATCATGGCCCTCTCTGGAGTTTGGAAAAGGCACCTATGTTTTTCTCCACCTGGCTTACAATGTGCCTAGTGTTTGTGCCAGAAGGTCAGAGTCCATACATCTACTGCATCCTAGTGACAGCACCCCTTTACTGCAGATTTTATTCTTTTGAGCAAGGAGGAGAAACTTCTTCAGTGCCATACAAAATATAATTCCCACATAAGCAGGAGGTGAGTGCTATCACTTCCCCGAGTCTCCATTTTCTCATCTAGAAAATGAGGATATTAACAACTTCTCCCCCACGAGGTCATTTGGACATTAAGTAAGTAAACACATGCAATAATTCAAGAGAGTGACCAGCACATCATAAGATGTTTAATTACTTGTTATGAATCACTCCATTAATGGGCAGAATTTGACAAGGATCATGAAGGACATACAGGATGAGCTGAAAATTAATTCCCCATGAAAACAGACTGTCTCTCCAGGGCCTGACACAGGAGAGTTGCTCAGGAAGCATTAGTTGAACAAGTGAATGAATGTAATGACAGCAGAAATACAGGGTCGAGGTGCGCACCTGTAAGATCAGTTTCATGGATAGTCTCTTCCCACATGAAGGGGAAGAGAAAGAAAGCATCTTGATTCAGAAGCAGAAGTTGCTATCACCAAGACCAGACCTGTCTCCAACTGAGGAGGCTCCTTAAGGCCTGCTTCATGTCCTTATTTCTTAGGCTGTAAATGAACGGGTTAAGCATGGGAGCCACCACTGCATACAGCACTGTAGCCACAGAGTCTTCAGCTGTGTAGGAAGAGGAAGGTCGCAGATAGACCCCAAATAGCGTCCCATAGAACAAAGACACCACTGCAAGATGAGAGCTACAAGTGGAAAAAGCTTTCAACTTGCTCTGGAGAGAATGCAGTCTTAGTATAGCTAAGAAAATACTCTTATAAGAGAGAAAAATAAAGAGGAAGGGAGTAACAAAAAGAAGGCTCCCCAAGGTGTAAACAACTAACTCATTGATATGAATATCTGAACAGGAAAGTTTTAGTAGTGCATAGAGTTCACAGAAAATATGGTGAATTCTAACACTTGCACAGAATGACAATGTATCCATAAGGAGTGTGTGGATCAAGGGATAGATGTTTGTAATAATCACAGCCAAAGACACAGAGGTGATACAGAATTTGGGACTCATGATTGTGGCATAGTGAAGAGGGTGACATATGGCTACAAATCTGTCATATGCCATCACTGCCAAGAGGACATTATCTAGTTCTAGAAATAAAATTAGAAAATACATCTGAGTGAGGCACCCAACATAAAGGATGGATTGGCTCTGGGTTTGAATATTTAGCAGCATCTTTGGTATAGTGACAGAGGTGAAGCAGATGTCAACACAGGACAGGTTGGCTATGAAAAAGTACATGGGAGTGTGGAGGTTGGGAGCAGAGCTGATGGCCAGGATGATGAGCAGGTTTCCTACCACAGTGACCAGGTACATGGACAGGAACAGGCTGAAGATGAACAGCTGATGCTCAGGTACCTCTGACAGTCCCAGGAGGAGGAATTCTGAGATGACGGTTACATTGCCTCTCACCATAGCTTCCAGTGTCTATAAACATGCATTGGAAATATATATGTCAACAAGACTAGGAGAAATTTGGAGAAACATGCATAGCATCCTCATCATTCACTAAAATTGTGTTTGGCAATGCCTATGGATGGGTCTACAACCTGGAGCAGTAAGGAAAAGAGAGTAGGATGACTGTACAGTCACCAAGAGTGTGGGTGATGTTGAGGCTCTCTTCGAGACTGACCTTGGCCAAGAACTACTCTTGCTTCCCTGGGAGGAAAGGAGAATCTGGAAGAGAAGGAAACAGAGAGAACTGAAAGTAAGTCCAGGAGTGGAGGTAAAATAGGTAGAGGCAACAAGGGCAGCTGATTTATCACAATGGAGTCCTCAAAGAGATCTCTATGGGCCTTTTCACTTTATTCATATAGGGATCTGAATGATGACTATTAAGGTAAAATTTGTGTTTGTCTGCGTGTGTGTGTGTGTGTGTGTGTGTGTATGTATGTATGTAGAGATATACTTAGTGTCATAGAGACTTAGAAGGGGACTTCACAGAGTTCATGGGAAAATGCAATTAAAATATGAGTTCATTTTGGTGAAAAAAGTTTTTGAAATCTATGCATAGTATTTGCTTATTTCTGGAAGGCACATATAATGGCCAGAGGAAAAAAGACAGAGAGAAAGCACCTCTAGATAATATATGATCATGCTGTAATCCTTTCTCGTCCATTTCTCCATTCTGTTGAGATTCGAGGCATGTACACACATGTGCTCTGCATGGTTTTCAAGCTGCTGGGGCTGGGATTCAAACCACAGTAGGCCATGTGGGATCTGGCTCTATGCACAGTACTTAACCACTGTACTACAGGGAAGGCCTACATAGTTTTTTTCATTATACGCATGTTTCCCTGAATTTTGTAAGGACTCCTCATATGTTCATATATATGTACTCAGAAATAGTCTGAAAAGATATTCACCAAAATATTAAAACAATGACTGTAATGACAGCAGAAATGCAGGGTGATATCTGGAGTGTGATATCTTTATTTTCATCTTTTTCAACAATAAATATGTAATAGTTTTCCAAACTGTGCTACATGGATGTTAATGTTTCTTTCAAGAGCTGTCTGTGATAAACATAGACTGAGGTACAAGCACAATTAGAGGCTCATACTCAAAGTCTTCTCCTATAAAAAGGCATGTCTAAAAAATTACGTCCCTGTGTCTTTCCCTGAACTTCTCAAGTTCGTGTCATGAAATCCACAAAGGCTAATGCTCATGTGGTGTAATTGCACTAAATAGACAGAGCTACACTCATAAATCTGAAATTCAGATAAAATAGAAAAGTTAGGGGCGAGCAGGTGGCATGCTGGTTAAGGCTCTGGACTCCCATATGGCAGACCGTAGTTCGAGTTCTGGACCTGGCAGCTTGCTTTCTCATTCTCTTTCTGTGTCTCTCTCCAGTCAAATTGAATGATAATAATAATAAATAAATAATTATTTAAAAAAAATAGAAAAGTTAGTAAAATCTGCTTTTAAAATATTGACTGAAGAAGGAGTAGATGATGAATGGTCAAATATTCATACCAGAAACTGAAAAAGATTTCATAGATCTTCACATATAAATTCATAGATCTTCACATAAAAATACACTATATGTTTTTAATCCAGGTGCTTTTAAGATCAAATTCTTTAAATTCATTATATTGTCAGTTCCCCAACTCCTCCTCAAATATTAAAAGTTGCCAGGGAAGAAAGAGTATTTTTGTTTCACAGCTGAATCCCCATGGCTTCAAGCCAGCATTAACACTGATACCAAAACCAGGCAGCAACAGCATACACACAAAATTAAAATAAGGGGGAAAATTTTTAATATAAGCAAATCCAGTCCTTAAGTGTATTGAAAGGATAAAATATCACATAGAAACACATGAATGATTGACTTTCATATGGCTTCTAATAGATCAATTAACCATGCTTATGGAAAGGATAAACGCTATATTATAAATGGATGCTAAAATAGGATTTGTAACTATGCATCAGATAAGGGACTTATAACCAGAATTCACAAGGAACTCAAGCAGCTGTTCCAAAGAAAGATGATCAATCCTATTAAAAGATGGGAGAAGGAGTTGAAAAAACTACTCTCTAAAGATGACATACGAATAGCCAAAAGGCATATGAAAAAATGCTCAACATCCTTCATTGTAAGGGAAATGCAGATCAAAACAACAATGAGAGACCACCTAACCCCAGTCAGAATGACTAAGACTGAAAAAACAAAAAATGGTAAGTGCTGGTGGGGGTGAGGTGAAAGTGGAACTCTCTTACACTGCTGGTGGGAATGTAAATTGGTCCAGTCACTGTGGAGAACAATTTGGAGATTCCTCAAAAATCTACAAATAGAACTACCATATGATCCAGCAATCCCACTCCTTGGTATCTACCCAAAGGACAGAATAATTCTTCATTGAAAAAGCGCTTGCACATCTGTTTATTGCAGCACTATTCACAATTGCTAAGTCATGGACCCAACCCAAATGTCCACGAACAGATAAATGGAAAGAAAAACTGTGGCACATATGCTCTATGGCACACTTATAGCTATAAAAAAACACCCCAAAAAACAAAAACCTGGCTTTTGACAGGAAGTGGATGAATATGGAAGATTTACTGCTGAGTAAAGCAAGCCAGGCTTTGAAGGAGAGGCATTGTATGTCTCCGCTTAATATATACCAAGTGTCTGCACTCTATGACTGAAACTAATTGTCTAAAGGATATAGAAACGCAAAAATGTAAAAATAAGTAAATAAAAAATAAAATAAAATAGAACTTGTAAAATATTACATTTCTTCTTGATTCTTTGAAACTCTTAGCTAATGGGCCTGGAATTGAAACCTCATCTCAAGGCACCAGACCTGGATGCTGACTCAGGTGCCCCACCCAAATCTCCCCCCCCCAACACCAACCTTTTCACTGTGCCCTCTACATCTCATAATGTGATCGATCTTTCGTCAAGGCATTTTTCCACCCTCTATCTTAAATGAGGCTTGACTTTATACCCTGAGGACACTGTCTTCTCACAATCCTTTCCAAGGGAGATCATCTTTTTCTGACATACTTCATATACCTCATAGTCAGGAGTCAGGTTTGGTGACAACTTCCTCCCTATTAGTGCTACTTTCCAACCCAACATTTCCTCTATATTTTAAAGAGAAAATCCCAGGAGTGACATCAGCAAAAATAGTAAAAAAGGAATCTCCAAATGTCTGTCCCTCCATAGAAACACTGAAAAAAATGAGCAAAACCAATCAACTTTGTCAGAATTCATTTTCAGCAATCAACAAATTTTTTTTTTTTGGAGAGGTTTTTGCTATAGGGTGCGTGTGCTCTCCAGACAGACAGAGAGAGACAGAGAGATAAAAAGTGAGAAATCACCCCCCTGGGGGGGATGGCCACACCGCAATCCCTTCTCCTCCATTCTCCTCTCGGGATCTTGGGCACGCACGCACATGCGCCCGGTGTGAGTTTTAAGCCACCGGGTCCAGGACGCGAACCATAGTCGACTACGTGGGAGTCCAGAGACATAGTCATTACGCTAACTGCTGGTCCCAGCAATCAACAAATGTTGAATCAAGAAAAAGGTGACTTGAAGATGGCAAGAGAACTTTCTTCTGTTTTTACTTAGTCTTGTTTCACACTCCTTCACAGCACAATCATGCTCTTGAAGATGGCACCCTATGTTTCTAGGCTGGTACTTAGTTAAAGACGGAGGATAGCAGGTTTTGTTTCCAAGTAATTCTGTTTGTCTGTTTGGACCTATCTCAAAATTCCCTGAAGGATGTACACAAGGCACTAGCTTTTGTGACACCTAACCCAGAATTCTCTCAGGGATGAAAAACAAATGAAGGTTGTTGCTTGAAATAAATGAACAAGTCTCTGCCTCTTGGGACAAAAGATTACAACTGGGACAAACGATAGGCATTTAAAAATCCTTGGAGGGGTTTTCAAACTGTCTCTGGCTGTTTCTTTGTCTCTCTCTTTAAATTTAAATTAAACAGTTTTTTTTCAAGCACCTCTCAGCTTGGGCCTTTTCTTTCACTTGTTAATTTCAGAAGCCATCTTAAAGCTGAGTTATGTCCTGGTGCTTTCAGGGAAGCCATGCTCTAAACCCATCTCCTAGACTTCCAAAATATTCATACAAGAAGCCATTTTAAAGCTGAGGTGTGTCCTGGTGTGTTCAGGAAAGCTATGCTCTAAACCCATCTCCTAGACTCCCAAACATTCAGACAAGCACTGTGGAGGAGAGATTTTGTCACAGAATGACCAGAAACAACTGCAGAGGCACAAGAAATATGAGAAATCAAGAACAATTCCTCATCATTCTCAGACAGTACAGTAGAATTCATGGAAATGTCTGATAGAGACTTCAGAATATTCATAGTAACAAAACTAAATGAGCTGCAAGAGCTGAGAGATAAAGAACTCCAGAAGATGCAGGAGAAAAGAGACAATGAGTTCCAGGAGGTGTTGAAGTTCTTTTATGTTCTAAAAGAGGAAATACACACCATAAAATAGATTCAAATGGAGCTATTAGAGATGAAGACTGCCATTCAGGAAATCAAAACCTCCCTCAAAAGTATTAAAGACAGATTAGTCCATGCAGAAAATCAAATCTCGGCTGTTGAAGATAAAACCTCTGATCTAGAAAAAACAACTCTCCCTCAAAAAATTGAGAAAATAACCCCAAAAATGAGAATACTATACGAGAAATACTAGATAGTATTAAGCACCCAAATACCTGGATAATCTTCAGAAGGTGAAGAAACTTATAAGGACATTGATAATCTATTCCATGAAATCTTGGAAGAAAACTTTCCAAATCTAGAGAGTCATTCGAATATCCACACCCAAGAAATACAAAGGACTCATAATAGAATCAACTCAAGAAGATCTTCTCCAAGGCACATCATAGCCAGACTGGTCAAATCTACAGACAAAGACAAGATACTAAGGCAAGAGAGAAA